GGGTGGTCTTCTGCGGCCGCGTCCTCGCGCGGGTGGGGCCGGACGTCAACGGCAGCCTCGCGGGGCCGCATCCGGCCTCGTCGTTGGTTGTCAGCGACGGCACCGGGGTGATAGGGGTGGTGCAATACCACAGTCGGGCCGCCGCGATCGGGGCCGCGGAAGAGGGAGAGGGACCGAGTGATGGGAATGGGCATGGGCATGGGAATCGGGGGGGGGACGAAATTTCCCGACAGGGGACGCGTTCCCTCCTCGTGTCGGTTTCGGCGGCGTCGGTCACGCCATCTTGCAAGCACTGGGCGGGACTTTTGGAGACGGGGATGGCATTCCTGCGGAAGAGATGGACATCCGTGTGGATGACTACGTTCTCTGCGTGGGGCGCTTGTGCTTTACCGATGTGGATCCTACGGTAGAAAAGTTATTCAAGTCGCTTCCGATGGCGTTCCACTCTTGCAGTAGCAGCGGCAGTGCCCATGCCGGAAATGTCGATGCCACCCCATCAGAGGCAACTTCATTGAGGATTAGTGGTTCAGCGAAGGCATCTTCTAGCGAAGCCGCAACGGATGTGCACAATGAACCTGGGGGGCGCAGCAGGTTTCGTGCAAGCAGTGATGTTTATGAGGATTCAATCGGGGATCCAATGTGCCTTCAGCCAATTTCTTCTGAGAATCAATCGATTCGGGATGCGACCCACGTATTGCTGCCCGGGGCACCATCACCTATTGCTGTGACCGACCTTTTGGAGTTGGGCATTTCTCTAGACAATGTACCATCTGGAACGCGTTTTTTCAGTGCCGCTGAGTCGATAGATCGTTCACAGCTCCAGGCCATGCAATTTGGCCTGCATCAAGAGTGTGATTCCAATGATTTGGTGACGCGACACTCACACTGTGTTCGTGCTGCCGCCCCTAGAGAAGTGATGTGTCCCACCCCACCACGATTTTGCGTAAAAGGGAAGGTGAGACTTATTAGTAGTAGCAATGAGATTCTTTTTTGGTGTCTGAGTGCCATTGATACTCATGTCCGTCTGAAGTCTATCGCCCTGCAAAGAGCAGTAAGCTATAGCTGAGGTACAAGTGCAGACAATTTCTACTTTCTGCATTATGTGTGTATTTTATTAAAGTTTGATATTCTTCCTTTTCATGCACAAAAAAATGTATTCATGATCACGTTTATTTACTTCTGCTATACAACCCATTAATTCCGTTGTGAACATTTTCGTTAATTCTTGTCAGGCCCTGATGTTTTTGTAAGGCCATTTGTAGCACCAGATGGCAGTGGCGATGGTCTCGCTACTCCCTTCGCAGGAGGTGTTTTCCTACCATAATTTGTGTCTATTCTAAATACCTCATCACTATCCCCCAAACCGCATCTTTAAAGCATTAGAAGTGGAAATAACAAGCACAAGGAATAGAAAGAAAGGGAACAGAGACAACATCTTGAATTGGAGGCCCAATATTTTCATTTTCTTCTTTTGATCCACATCGTGTTGCTCCTTTGTAGCTTCATTTGATTGATCTATAAGGGTGTTAGTACAACCAGATGCAGTGGCGGAAGCGACCACACACTCGATCGCCTTCTCTCAGAGCGGCGCCGGCGCCCCCCTTTTCGGTTGTCAGTACAGCGACTTCCGGCGTTTACGTGGAGAGCCAGCGACGGGCACGGCAGCAACTCCTGCGCGACCTTCTTTGCAATACCTCTCTAGCGGAGCTTCGCGACCGTGAAATCTTAAGATGGCTAGATGACGCCGACGGATGGCTGCGGAGCCCGGAATTCTTGGCGGGTGAGCTTACAGAACTTCGACTGTTAGTTCTCGGTGTGCTGAACACGATGCCATGGTGGCGGATTCTTGAGAGCGTCGCTCCTTCGCAGGATCAACTTGTGTATGAGGATTCAGAAGAGAGTCACGGTTTTGCGAGGAGCACTGAGGGCGCTACGAGCCAAAAGCTGCTTTTTTCTTCTTCAACCTTCGAAAAGCAATCTTCTCGTGTATTGGCACCAGTAGTGGCGTCGACTTCTGCCTCAGCGTCCGCGCCTTCAGTCATTTCTAGTATCATACGCCTGCACGAACGTATCCAGCTTGCGTTTGAGAAAGTTTGTCTGACGCTTTTAGAGGGGTCGCAACGGACCATACCGAACGTGCTCGAGGCGATATTGAAGCCATTTAATGTGGAACCTTCCGTAAAGGACGGGGCTCGGCGTGCAATCCCAGCCGATTCCATTGTTCGCGTTTTAAACCAGATCGCTACCAAGTGCCCGACAAGTGATGTGTTAACCCTCTTTGAGCGGTGTTTACCCACGTTGGTGCCGAAGCGGCGTTGGGCGAATGGCCGTCATCACGTTATATGCACGACCATATTTCTTTATCTCGCACTTGAGGGGCAAGTGCCAGGGTATCACCCCTCGTGCGGGAATTCTCAGTGTTTAGCCCGTACCCAAGAGCTGTTTGAGGTATGGATCTTGTCAGCGACGGTTGGCGAGTGGGTGTCTTCCTCACCCTGCGTCTCTCATGCCTCCTCTCAAGGCATTTGCTCAAGGAAAGATGCGGGGGAGGGTGAAAATCGAGATGCTGCCACCGGCAACAACATAACCAAAGTGAAGGAAGAGGATGATTTCTTTGAATCCAAAACCCACTATGCGCTGCCTCCAAGTATAATTTCCAAGTCAGCCCCTGTGGCGCCAACGCCTCACGAGGTTTCATCAGGAAATATCGACACGAGTCCTTTCCACAAAGTTGGGCAAACTGGCGGGCGGGGATCCGACCTGGAGGTGCTTTCCAACAGTGGTGAGAAGAATCCCGCGGCGGAGGGGTACGACACGTCCAGTAGCAGCTTCTCCGGCACCGCCGCGGCCTTGGGAGGGGGAACGGTCCTAAAGATGCCGGAACGAAGCGCCCTGGCGGACTTTAGCGATTCCGAAGGGACCAATTATAGTGAGAGCGGCGATACCAGCCTTGGCAGGCGGCCCCATCTCGATGGGGCCGCCCTCAGCCGAGGCTCCGGGGGTCCCCATCACGCGGTGCCGTCCTCGGCGGATCGCGCGAGCCCCTTTACGGGCGCCTCCCCGAAGGATATGCTTCTATCCGCGGCGGCCTCGCACGCCGCCACCTCGACGCTGACGTCGATCCAAACCACCCCGCAGAACAACCGCATGCTGGCGTACCGAAGTGAGCTCATTCACTTCGTGCTCGGGCGTCTGGAGGCGATGGAGCTGTCTTTGGATCACACCGAGGGCGTGGGCGAGGAGGGCCATCCTCCAAACGCGCGAGGCGGTTCGCTATCGCATCCGTCGTCGAGCGTTCGTGGTTTATCCCCGGTGGGGAGCCTTTCGAGCACCCCGAGGGCGTTCTCTTGCCCAAGCCCCCTTCTGAAGGAGCCTCGTCAGTTGTATTCCCCGACTCTCAGCTCACATCGATCGGTCGGGGGGTTTTCCGGGTTCTCCACGCCATTTTTCGGTCCGCGTGCGAATCGGCTCGTCGTGGATCCCGCGCAGCCGCAATACGAGGTGCTGAAGCAGTGCTGCGCGGTTGTCTTCTACATGCTCGTGAAGGATCTTTGCCGGCAGCAGGCGGCCGGGGTGTGTGGGAATGTGGATTGGTGGCGGGTGTTGGTTGGGTTTCAGCTTCGCGTGTTGGCGTCCTCGTCGGAGGTTCCCGTGTGTGTGCAATTCATCGCCCCGAGCCTGGCGATGTTCGGGCAAGAAGAGGAGGCGGTGGATATGATTCACAAGGTCGTCACGCTCGTTACGAAAGGGTTGTTTCCGCCGAGCCTTCGCGGGGCGTCGTCGGGGGTGACGGCGGAGGGGTTTGGTCGGACCTCCGCGTCGGTGGGGAGCGCCGCGGTGGGGGCGCCGGCTCGGCTTCGCATGGCGCCCCCTCCGGCGATGGCGACCACGCAGGGGCTTTCCATTCCCCAACGCATCCGCGCCGCGCGGAGCATCGCGCCGATGTTTAAATTTATGAAAGACCGTATCGCGAACGGGGAGGGGGTCCGGAAGCGTCTGTTGAAGTGGGTTGCACAGGAGATGGGGCGGGAGGCCACCGGGATAGGCGGGCGAGGGGCGTTTTCGCGGCTGGTGGAAGTCGTCTTCGCGCAGTGCGCGGCGATCTCGGAGATGATGGGGGTGGCGATGGTTCCTTCCGGGAACTCCGGAAGCGGCGCCGCGGAGGGGTCTCAGACAACCCCTCTTTTGCAACCCATCGGGGGAGGGGCGGGGAAGTCCGCGGTGGAGCTGCTCCAACCACTGCTCAGTCGATATGCGCTAGAGAAGGATGACGAGGGGGGGTTGGATGTTAAGTGCGAGGAGGACCCCGAGGACCGCGGCCCGGGACGGGTGCGAATGAATCTAGCACAGATGGAGCGGGATGAGCTGCTTCAGCCATGGTTGATGGAGGACTGCCCATGGGGAGATCTTCTGGCGCGGATGTCCTCCTCCACGGCTTAACTCCAAAAGGGGTGGGTCGGTAGAAGTTGCTAACCATAACAAGAATAATCGCGGTGGTACAACATACACAATATCTTCGATTGGAAATCGTAGGCGAGTTTCGCATCATGTCAGTCCTGTCGATTGACGAAAACTGCCACATTAATAAGTTTACATCGGGGCAAAGTCACTAAGGAATGAAATAATCCCGTCAGCAGCCTAAACCGACAACACACGGCCATTCCGAGGGATCCTTGATAGTGTTAATCGGGGTTACGTACATTTATATCCATATCCTAGAGTTATTATTTTGGATAACGAGCTTTAAATACGTTCGGGGATTCCTTTGGTGTGGAATCCTTTTCTAATTGAAATCAATTTATTCTATTTCGCGTTTACCACCATGATGCGGAAATCCCAAAGTGCGTGCTGTGTGTCATCCCCAATTTCCTCAATATTTTCGTTTCTCCGTGACTTCTTCTTAGCATATTTTTAATCATTTCACGTTCCGGATTCACAGGCCGCCCTTTTTGGTCCCCTTTACCACACCCACCCACTCACGTGATCTCGCGGTGGTTAATTCGCCCCTCGCTCGCTCATTAACCCAACTTCGTCGTTTGGTGGTTTGTGTCTTTGTTTCCACCATATGTCCTCCCGTGCGGATACGCTTCTCCGGCAGCTCTCGACGAACCCCTTTGTGCGCGTCGAGCGGCGTGGGGAGTGGGGGCTGCTTTTCCTCCTCGAGGACGCCCCTCGGCCCTCGCGTGGGGCGGCGCTCACGCAGGACGTCCGCCGCGCCCTCCTGGCGGGGCTTCGCGGCCTGCAAGCGGACCCCGGGTGTCGCGCGATCCTGCTCCTCTCGGACCGCCCCGCGGTGTTCTCGATCGGGGTGAACCCCATGGACTTCGCGGACGGGCTTCGGTCCGATCCCGCGGCCGGGGTCCCCTCCCTGGCGGAGCTCACCACCGCGGTCGCGACGAGCCC